TATTCGGTCAACAGCTTCCTCTTCCCCAGCCCAGGCTTGTTCTAGGCTCAAAGCCAGTTTCTTTCCTCCCATCCTTATTCTCCCTGCCTTCCTTCCATTAATCTCTACAAGTAGTCCTGTGATACGGCAATGACCAGGTGTGATCCACCGCTTCTGGGGCAGACATTCTCTGGGGAAGAATGGGTCCATCTCTCCTGGATGCTAGGTGTACCCAGCTGAGACTAGGTTTCTTAGAAGCAACTGGTGGGGTATGAGAGGTGCAAGTTATTTGGTGTTAGGGGAATTTGGTGTTAGGGGAAAGCCTCTCTGAAAGGTGACATCTAAGAAAGATCTGAGGGCCAGTACAACAATAATGTGATAATTTAAAAAAAATGATCTCAGGGAAGTAGGAGACCAGACCTGGGAGCTATCTGCAGCCTGTGGCTGGTTGTTGGTCTCAAGGCCCTGACACTCCAAGAAGCCTGAGGCTTGGCTTAGTGTTTTGCTGTTGTTATCTTGAACTTAATTTGAATGAACTCTGAGTTTTCATTTTGTACAGGGCTCCCTCCACAAGTTGGGCAGTTGGTCCTGTCTGGAGCAAAGTAAGTTCCAGGCAAGGTCACAGAACCAGCAGGTGTTGGCATCGTTCAACCTAGAGTAGAGAAGGAGGACATGGCTGGCCTTTCCTCTATTCTGCCCTATGGCTATTGCCCTCCTCCCAGCTGCCCACTGTGCTTCTGACCCCTCTAGGACAAATGCAAGAGGGACAGGTGAGGATTCAGAGGCAGCAAAGTTCTGAGTGTATTTTCCAGATTGCTGCTTTAGATGACAGAACCCAAACAGAGCAAATCTTTTGGCTGGGAGGCCAGGGCCTCTCCAACAGCTCCCCTTCAGTACTTCGTGAGGAGTGTCCCAATCAGTTAATTTCTGGCCCTGGTCTGCCCCTAGGCCAGCAGACCAGGCAGCTCCCACAGCTTCCAAGAGAGCCTGAGGGAGGAAAGTGGAAGGATGCCAGGTGGGCGTGTAGGGTGGGGCTGGGTCAGTGTGTGTGGTGCTGTTCACCACTGATGACACTGAGATCTGAAATAGACCCAGAAGGTGCCACCTGAGCACTCATGTCTGCCACACTGGAGGTTGTCACTGTGGATTGCTGTCTGCAGATCCCTGTGGTAGGGGAGGGGAGAGAGCCAGTTGCCTACGATGACCCCTCTGTTCTCAGGACATCCTAGGATACCTCCAGTGGGGGTCACTAGACCCTGCAGAGATCTTCCTGAGGTTGGCTCTGTCTCATGGTCCAGCTCTGGCCAGGCTCCATGGGGATGCAGCCCCTACCTGTGGTCTCAGAGATACCAATTCTTCCTCTTCAGATTCTCAGGCAAAAGCCAGACACTAAGCCATGTTGTCCTAGAAGGCAGCTGGTCTCCTTCAAGCCCCAACCCACCCCACTCTCTCCAAAGTCAGTCCTCTGTCTAATCCCTGATCCCAGCCCCTACACTCCCTCAGATAAAGTCCCATCCCTGGAGCTGAAGGCATGGCTTAAGTGGTAGCACCTGCCTGACAGGCGTGAAGCCCTGAGTTCAAACCCCAGTACCGCCAAAAAAGCTCAACCCCTAATACCATCCGCTACCACCAGATTCTCTGGGCTCAGCCCTATGGCACCACAGCTCATTCCCTAAACTCACCCAGGTCTCACACCTCTGCTCCTCTGACAGGCTGTTTCCTGGAGGCCTCAAAGCTGTGAATTTCTGAGAAACTCATCCTACTCTACTGCACAGGGTACCACTGCCTGTGCCCTGCTGACATTGTGATCTTGAGCCAAGCTTCTGGGTTTGAATCATGGCTTTACTGTGTGTAGGAAGCAGGAAGTCTTCGTAACTGCTTAACAACACTCCTCAAAATTCCAGAGCTACAACAAACCCTAATTTTTCTCTCTTGTTGGCAAAAATTGGGGGGAGTAAAGAGCAAAATAATACATGGCATTTATCAAGCAGTGACTGTATCCCAGGCACTGTGAGCACATCACGGGTTTTATTTCATTCATTCCTCATGCCAGCTTGTTAGTGTCATGACCTTGTTTTTGAGTGGAAGAGACTGATGAAGAGAGGTTCCATGACTTGCCCAAGGTAAAATAGCTTATGCACAGCAGAGCTAAGATGTGAACCCAGGCAGGATACACCCATAAACATCACTGTTTTGCTGCCTCCACTGAATGACATGGAGGCATTATGTTGGGGACAGCTCAAATACCATGCATTCATCCTTTCTCTTGAGTCTCTTACCTGACAGTCCCCAATCTCAGAGGCCTAGTTTTCTGAGGCCTGTTAACTCCTTAGGCCTACTCAGGAATCCAGTCTCAACCAGAGACCTTGTTCCTCTGAAGGCTGAGCCTGGGACAGCAGCCAGGTGACTCATGGTTACCCATAAGTCTCTCCCACCTCTCCCTGACACCCCCCACACCCCCCTCCCACCCCAGCTTCTAAGCTCAAAGGATTACCAGGGTCTAGGCTCCTGGAACAGTAAGTCATTGGCCTTACGCAGATGCCCACACTGAGCTGGGGGAAGCACTCTTGGCTGTCCCGTCTCTGGGAAGGGAGCTGTTGCAGAGCAGGGATCTAAGCGTTAGGCTTAGATCCAGGCCTGCCACTAGCCCATGGGTGGCATTGGTAGCACCTTACCACATGTTTTCTCATTCACAGACTGAGGTAATGACAGAACACCCTCGAGGACATTGCTTTGCATCAGGCCTGATACATAAGCAACGGCTCCATAACTGATTACTGTCCTCATTTTCATTTATCTGCTCTCAATTATCTGCCAAAAGGTTCAGGTTAAGCGACTTCTCTTCTGAACGTATACCTCTCAGTTGACTTTCCAGAGGCTGAACACCTGAAGCTGTGCAACCTGGGGGGCATTTCTCCCCTCTGGGTCTGATTTTCTGTCCATAAAATGACACACTGGCCGATGCATGAGGCTTTACTGAGCTAAAGTAAAAGTCCCTGTGACCCCTCCCACTAATTTATAAAATGGATTAATTTTAACCTTTCACAGCATTGTCTAGATCAGAAGATGTCAGCACACCAACTGTTTGGCACACCAATTAGCACATGATAAGAGCTTAATAAACTGTTGCTTTAAAAACAAGTTCAGGGTTGGCAGAGTGGCTCAAGTGATAGAGCGCCTGCCTAGCAAGCATGAGGCCCTGAGTTCAAAACCCTTCCTGCCCCAAAACAAGTTCAAGCCGTGCACCGGTGGTTCACACCTGTAACACTAGATACTTGGAAGACGAAATCCAGAGGATTGGAGGATCAAGAATCAGTTCCAGGCCAGCCCAGGAAAATAGTTCTCAAGATCCCATCTCCAAAATAACCAGAGCAAAATGGACTGTAGACTGGCTCAAGCAGTGGAGTGCCTGCTTTGCAAGCTCAAAGCCCTGAGTTCAAACCTCAGTCTCATCAAAACAAAATTCAGGAGCTGGGATGTAGCTTGGTGGTACAGTGCTTGCCTAGCATGTGCGAGGCCCTGGGTTCGATCCCAGGACCAAAAAAGAAAAGACAAAAAAAAAAAGTAATTCAAGGGCTGAGGGCAAGACTTAAGCAGTAGCCCCAGGTTCAGTCCCCAGCATCACAAATAAAATAATAAAATAAGTTCGGTATAGCACAGGTGTTCTAAAAATCAAAGCTGAATCCAAACCATCTTCCAAGTTTTTAGTTTTTATTCACTATAATAGACTGTCTTCCATTGTATAGAATATTTTCTCCATAATGTCTTTACTTGGGCTGGAAGTGTGGTCAAGTGGTAGAGCTACTGCCTAGCAAGCTCAAAGGCCCTAAGTTCAAACACCAGTACCGCCACAAAAAAAAAGAGTCATAATGTCTTTACTTATTTTAATTTTCTCCCCCATCCGTTCTAAATGAGGATTTTCTATGCTACTTTTTCTATCCTCGTGGGTAATGAATATTTAAGTAATTCTTTCTATTTATTTATTTAGAAAGAGTCTTGAATTCCTTGGCTTAAGGGACCCTCCTGCCTCAGCCTCTCAAATAGCTGGGACTACAGGTGCAGACCATCATCTAAGTAATTCCTACAGGTTTGTCCAAACAGAGCCGGGTTTCATGCTTTTTTATTAGAACCACAGATTCATTATAATGTGGATTGAAATATCCCTTCCTCCCTCTAGTACTTTGCAGTTTACAAAGAACCTTCACACCTGTCATTTTATTTAATCCTAACAGGCCTGTCGGGTTGGAGATTGCAGATTCTAAAGCCGAGGCCCAGATGGAGCAAGGACACTTGCCCAAGTCTCCTAACAGTTGGGATAGTGTGAGGCTTTAGATCCCACCGTGCCTGTGCCCCGCAACAGCTTCTCTCAGCGGCCTCCCAGCTCCCTGAAGACAGAGCAGTGACCCTCCATTCACTGGGCCCTGGGCTCCCAAGGTGGGATATGGGTGTCATATCCCTCCAAGCCCCCTGGACGGTTCAGCAGGTCCAGGTCTCCGCACAGCAGAACCGGCAATCCATGGCATCCTGAGCCAGTATGTCCTGAAGGCCTACCTTGTGCAGGTACTCCCCATCCTACAGGTGCCTGCACTCCTGGGGAGAAGGGAGGGTGACACTGGGTGTTTTAAAACAAAGGTCCAGACAAGGAGCACCCACCACACAGGTCCTGCCTGGGGAGAGCTTTGGGTGGGAGCTTGAAACCCAGTGAGGGACGCAGCTCTCCAGGTGATCGCGTCTGTGCCATAGCAGCCTTGCAAGGGGTGGGGTGGGGTGTTGTGAGTCCAGGCCCAGCACTCTGGATGGGACATTTGTCTACTCTCTTGCTAAGCTGCCTCCCACTGTCTCCAAGTTGGCCAAGCCCGGAAACTGGAGCTTGTGGTTCCAGTCATCCGGAAATGTGAAAGGTCAGGCGGAGCCTCCGCGGCCCCCCTGCAGAGCCCAGGAACTTGGACAACCACTTCTGCTGTCTGGGCCTCCTTGTCTCGCGTCAGTACAGTGACCACAGGAGGTCCCAGGACGCTGCGGCGGCCGCTGGCAGTGACCGCTCCCAGCTCGAGCAACGGGCTTGGCCCGGCAGCGGGAGGCGGCCTTGGCCGGGGAAGTCGCAGCGCCGCCTGCCCTCCGCCAGGGGCGGGGCTGTAGCCTGGCCGCCCCTTTATCTGCTGCCCTGGCGCCCGGGACGCCGCGGCTGCTGGCAGCTCGGCCCTGGCCAGAGGTAGGACTGGGCCCGGATCGCGGGAAGCGGGCGCGGGGCCGAGGGGCGCGGGCGCGGCGGGTGCTCCCGGCTGCCCACGTGCGGGCGTCCAGGAGTTGGGGCGGCAGTGAGGCCCCGGACAGCGGCGCAAAGGGGCACCACGGGCAGGGGAGGGGCTGGGAGCACCGCGGAGGATCGACCGGAGGGAGGAACAGAGCTGGGGTCATCTGGGGAAGGGTGCGCAGAGGAAAGGAATGGAGGTGGGGATGGGGGTGGGGTGGCGGTGGGGGGGCACCCTGGACATGGAGGGGAGGGTGAGGATGCAGGTATGGCTCTGGCTAGGGAAGGGCAGGGAGGGAGAGAGGGATGGAGAAGGGGAGAACAGCGGACCACCTGTGAGGAGGTGGGCAGGGGAGTTGGGTTGGAATGCACAGGCAGGGAACGCACCCCCCATAGGGAGCACCCCTTTCCTGGAGGGGGAATGTAGGCGAGAATGGGTGCGGGTAGTCCATATTGGAGAGCCATGAGAATATCACTGTTGGAGGCCAAGCAGGGCTCTTGCTCCCTGGGATGGGAATACCTCACCTGGGGTCAGGAGGGGAGGGAGGCCCACACCATCCACAGCGCTGGCCTCCACCCACAGCCTTTGAAGACCAGCTTTCCCTGGGGCAGCCCCCCGAGGCCTGGGGGGCAATGTCGGGCCAAGGCACCTGTTGGAGCTCCTCTCATTCCAGGGTTTGTGCACCTCGGGGCCCCTTGGTAAGAGATGACCTCTGTTCCATCTCTGTTCTCCTGTGTAGAGGACCCTTCCTGGTCAGCAGAACAACTCGGATCAATTTCCTGTGCTCTATGCTGGGAGACTGTAGTCAGTTTGCCTAACTTCTCTGGGCTGTTTTCTTCTCCAGGGTCCCCTCATTTGAGCAGCAGTGAGGGTGAGCTCTGCAGGATTTCCTCAAGAATTAGTCATTCCATTCTGATCGCATTTCTGAGTACAAATGGTGGCCCAAAGTGCAATTACAAATGAACAAAAACTTTCTGTTCGCAGTCTTGGAAGACTTGGAGGGGCTTTTTTCTTGAAACATGGTGGGTTGAGTTGGCACTTGGTTTGTGGTGAGGGAGGTGACCCAGTTACTGGGAGACCAAGGGCTTGCCATGCCTCGTTGAAGATGGCTCCATCATAGGGATGGACTCCGAGTTTATTATGGTGACTGAGACAAGAGCGCTGGTTTTGGAGTCTGACAGAAGTACTGTGCCCACCTGCCTCCTGGCCTGGAAAGACAGGTTGGGCTCCAGGCAGAAAGGCGAGGAGAGAGGGAAAGGCGTGGGGGAGAGTTCCTGGAAACAGCAAGCTGCCCTAAGTGACTAATGTTTGTGCCTAATGGTAACTCAGGCTCTGCCATAATGTGCCATCCTTGGCAGGACCCTCAGGAGGGTTTGTCTTGGATAGCTCCAACATTAACCCTAGCCTGGCCTTATTATTATTGTCATTGTCTTATTTATTTACCTTTCTTAGGTAAATAAATAACAATAGTGAGATGCCCCATCTCACTCTGTTGCCCAGTCTGGCCTTGAACTCTGGGCTCAAGTGATCCTCCCACCTCAACCTCCTGAATAGCTGGGACCTGGGTTTATTATTATTTTTTTAAATTTATTTTCTTTATATAATTTTTTTTTGAGAAAGGGTCTCTCTGTGCAGCTCAAGCTGGCTTCAACCTCACTATCCTCCTATCTCAACCACCTGTCTGCTAGGATTATTTATTTTTTAACTGTCACGTAGAAATTGTCCTTATTAGCGTAGTGGCAAAGTGTTTTGCTACATTTATACATTGTATAACGTTTAGATCATAGCACTGTTTTTATCTAATGAAGTTAGACTTTGTTCGCTCTGGCAAGATAAAGCAAATTCTTTAAGAGAATTTGCTGAACAATCACATCCCAGAAAAGGAACAATGCATGTTTTGCATGCCAGGAAGGAGACAGAGGGAGAAGTGGAATTACAACCAAATGACGCTGATAACGGGTGTTACTTAGGCCAAGAGGGCACAGTAATGCCGAGGTCTTGCCCTCAGGGATTAATTCGCTGGGCTGTTAGTTGTCCAGGGCAGAATATTAAATGGCTTTGTTCATTGTGAGACACTAGCACCTGGCACATTGTAGGCCTAACTGTTGGAATGTCACAGGGCTCCAGGGTCCCTTTGAAGTCATTGGTGAATTCATGCTCTGCCTTGACTTTTGAAAAAATAGGGCCAAGAGTGGAAGGAGTGTGTCCATGGTCACCCAGGGTTTGAAAGACTGAGGCAGGAATAGTACCCAACAAAAAATAGCAGAGCTGGCACTGAGCCAGGGCCAACATTGAGCATCCCAGACTTTGTTTTGCTTTCACAAGAGCCCAAGAGGTGGCTCTTTTTATCCTGTGATTATAACTGAGGAAGCCAACTCAGACAGATTAAGGAACTTTTGTCAGGTTACCTAGTAAGTTTCCAGACCTTAATGGAGGATCCAGACAGAAGATTCTGTCTTCTCCTGAAATAGGCTGCCAGAGGCAAGTGGTGCCCTTTCCCGTTCTCTATTTCCCTCCTGCCTGGATCTTCTAGGCCCACCGGCATTTCTGTGGGTGAGCCCCTCGGGGCAAGGAGCCTGTCAGCTTCCCCAAGGCATTTGCAGTATAGCAAGCATCCAACAAAGTCTGTGGATGGGGTGACCAGGGCTTGCTCTCCAAATCCCACTTCCCCCATATCCACACAGGCCCAGGGGAATATGGAAACCTTTGATCAAGCATGTCACATGTCACATGGAGACCTGAAGAAGCTAGGGTGGCAAGCCTTGGAGGAGGGAGGGAGGAGACTGATCTTGAGTTTAGGAAAAGGGGAATGTGGTGGTACATGCCTGCAATCCCAGCAGTTGGGAGAGGATAGCAGGAGGATCATGAGTTCAAGGCCAGCCTGGGCTGCATAAATGAGACTACTTCAGAAAAACAAAAGCAAAAGAAACAAATATACATGAGAGATATGAAGGTGGGATGGGGGACTTGGGAGTATGGGAGAGGAAGGAAGGAAGTCTCACTGTAGTCCTGGCCATTGTAGGGGCCCCATGCCTTTTGTCTTTCAGGTTGCCTGCTGGAACCATCTATCCTCTTGTGCCCTCCCACTTTGGGACTGGGCTGTTGACTCTAAGGCCCCTTTCCCTGGGGATGTCACTTCCCAAACACCTCTCTTGGGCCTGTGGGTGCCAATTCTCAGGTCATAGTGACTCTAGAGGGGTCACCGTGGATGGTCTTTGCTGAGAACAATTTAATTATTAAATAAGGTCAGTGTCCTCAGAAGTCCAAACTCCAGCCAAAATTTCCTGGTCTGAGTACAGGAGACACGGTTAACTTTCTGTCTGACTCCCCAAATCCAATGGCACAGCTACTGAGGTGCTTTTCTTTTTTCTTTTTATTGTGCTCGGGAAATGGAAGGAAACCAGGGCCTCATTTATTTGAGACAAGTGCTCACCACTGAGGTACACCCTAGCCTCGGGACTGAGGTGTTTTGTTTTGTTTTGTTTTGTTGCCAGTGGAGGGGACACGACTGAGTTTTTTAAAAACCCAAGCTCACCTGCCTAGCACTCCAAGGCTCTGATTTCAAACCCAATACTGAAAAAAAAAAAACCCAAGCAAATTGAGCAGTCTATGAGGTAGAGAGGTAGATAATATTCATAATTCCCATGACAGAGGTAAGGATCAGAGAAGGTTAGTCACTTGTCTAAGGTCTCAAAGCAGGTATGTTATGGAATCAGGTATCAAACCTGCTTGTCTGCATCTGAAGTCCACCTCTGCATAATCCTTTATAAGAAAGTTGCTGTTTTCTCCTTTTTTCCTAACTTTCTCCTCTTCTTATTCCAACCAAGTAGGGGACAGGAACCAGCCAAATTTGCCTGACATTCATCAACCAGGCTCTGGACACCTGATCCCAGCCAGCTTCACTCTTGCCTTGCTCTGTGATCTTGGGTAAGTCATGATTTTCGGCCAGCCCTGGGCTTTTCCATGTGTCTTACACAGAGGTGAATGGGGAGGTGCTTTCTGCAGCTGAGGCCTGGCTAGGAGGGCACACAGGTACCAGTATGGGAGTCTTGCAGGCAGGAGAGAGGGTTGAGAGGTTGTCTATAGCCCCACCCTCTGGTGACATCACACAAGGTACCTCCAGGCCCTGGAAGCCCCACCTCCAGGGCCCTTTACCTGTGGAAGTGCCACCCAGTGCTTGCATCTGGTGACTTTAACCAGTCACAGCAGAAGCCATTGGTCCCCAGGCTCAAGGGAAACACCCCCAGGTACCCAGTGCAATTTGAGAGGCCTGGAGGGGCCTATGGAGGTGTGCTGGGCTGGGCTAGGCCACCTGGAACAGGCAGGGCCTGGCAGCCTGGTGGGCAGACTACTCAGGATACCATCATGGTCCTTTCCAACTGGTTCATGCTGGACCCTGGTGCCTGCTTCTCATTTAACGCTGGATTCAGGGGATGAGAACGAATTCTGAAAATAGATGCATTTAGATGGCATAGAGCCTCTGCCTGAGGTCTAAAGGAAATAGGGCAGCAGGACCTCTGTTCCTTAGTATGTTCTGTCTGTAGGGCCTACTATGTCAGAAGCACAGGGCTTGTGAGTAGGCCCTGTCCCCCTCCGGAGGAGGAGCTGGGCTTCCCTGGTGCAGAGTAAGCGGGCAGGTAGAACCAAGGGAGACTGAGTTGCCAGAAGCCTAGGTAAATACTTTACAAGGGCTCAGTTGCCTGCTTCAGACTGTGGGATGCAGGCAGGTGTGACAGGAGGAGGCGTGCAGCAGAGTGGTTAAGAGTATCTGTGCTCTGCTGGATCTGAATCTTGGTTCTCTGCCCCCACCCCTTACCTCTCTGGATTTCACTGTCTATGGAAAGAAAATGGGTAGAATAATACCTACCTTACAGGGAAGTTGTGAGAATTGCAACAGGCAGTGAAGAATGAGCATATAGTAAACACTTAACTACATTTCAGCTGGCTCTATACGGTAATTATTAGTGGGAAAGGAATCAATCCTTGGTCGTTTAAGTTTGGTACATGTAGGTTCAACAAAACTGAAACTTCTTTCCTGTGGGACTTCTCAGAGCCTTGGGAAGTACTGTTATGCCTTGGGAATTTCCACGAGTGGGATATAGAGAGAGGACTAGATTGAATAGATCATAGGGGTCTAGAAATGAGGTGTCCACAGGGCACCACTGAGCTTCATCATTCCTTAATCTTTTCCTATGGCAGAATAAAGATCTTGCTGGGTTAGACAAGTCTGAGAGGGCCTTCTGGCCTCTGGGCTCTGGTTTCCTCCTTCAAAACAAGGGAGTTGCATGAGTGTTTTTGGAAGCTTTTTCTGTCCGCCCCCCTGCCCTGCTCCCCGCCCCAGTACCACTGAGGTTCCGAGTTGGGAAGACAAAGCTGTGGACAAGAGTGGAGGCCAAATTGTTGAGGCTGAAGCCCTGCCTCTTGTGGAAAGGAAGAGGTTCAGTCATGACTCCCAAACCACCAGGGCAAGTCTCTTGCTCTGGTAGAAATGGCCCCGTCAGCAGGGTCTGCTTCTTAAACCTATTCTTTGCCAGGCTGTAGGGGTAGAGGAAGTGGGACAACCCTGTGTTCCCTGCAGTTAAGGGAACACTGCACTGTGTGCAGTGGTGTAATGACTGATTTAACTCCTGCCTCTCCTGTGGACTAGGAAAGGCAGGTGTCAGTACTGACTTCAGAATCCTAAAGCAGGAAGAGTTTAAAGATGGTAACAAGGCTCAGACCTGTCTTTTTTTTTTTTTGTGGTTCTGAGGTTTGAACTCAGGGCCTTGTACTTGCTAGGCAAGCATTCTGGGGGCGTTGAGCCACACCCTCAGTTCTTTTGCTGTTATATTTGTTTTTCAGATAGGGTCTCATGGTTTTGCCTGGGGCAGCCTCAGACCTGTGATCCTTCACTCCCTGAGTAGCTGGGGTTACAGGCATGTACCACCATGCCTGGACTGTGCGTGAATTATTTGGGTGACTTTGGGGTGACCACAGGGCCATTGGTGGTGGAGGTTGTGAATGCTTATCCTGTCCATACAGTGTCTGGTGCAAAGGTAGCTGTATGAGAATGAGCAGTAGACAGAGTGCTTGGGTGCTGAGTCCAAAGAGCTTGCTGGAGAGAATTTATTTGGTGATTGGGGTGGTGGGGCGGGGGAGTGTCAGCTGGCAGGGTTTTCAATAGGTGTCTGCGTTAATGAACGATGATAAGCCTGAATGAAGCAGCAGGTACCAAGCAAAACAGTCAATAGTTATGTAATAGCTCGTAGTGCTCACCACCCTGACTTGCAAAGGGCAGTTGAGGTTAGTGGTTAAGCACACAGCCCGAGTCTAGACTGTGCCTCTCCACTTCCTGGCTAGGTAAATGGGTAGGGTACTTGATGCATTTTTACCTCAGCTTCCTTACCCTGAAAATGAGAATAATTTGAGTATCTACCTCACAGAGTTGACAGTAAAGTTTCCATGGTGGGGGGGGGTTATGTGTAAAGTGCTTAAAGCAGTGCCTAACAGCCGGGTGCTATTGGTGATTTACTAAGCCCGTAATCCTAGCTACTTGGAGACTGAGATTGGGAGGATCTCAGTCAAGACCAGCCCAAGCAAACAGTTCCTGAGACCCCATCTTCAAAATAACCAGAACAAAATAGACTGGAAGCCTGGCTCAGGCAGTAGAATACCTGCTTTGCAAGCACAAAGCCCTGAGTTCAAACCTCAGTCCTACCAAAAAATAACAGTGCCTGGCAAGTCATGAGTGCTGTGTAAGCATTTGCTGTCCCTTGTTTTCCTTTCTGTAACCTCTGCCAGGTCATGGAGTTCCCCAGGGCGACGACTGAATCCTTTTCCATGGTCCCCTTTTCCCACACACCACACACACTGTGGGAGGCAAAGCAGCCTCCATGTCTGCTAAGCAAACAAATGAATGAATGGAAAGACTGAATTGTGTCTGAATTGTGTCACCCACTGTAGGACAGAGAAAAGGAGTGGTGGAGGGACCCTTGGTGGCAGAAGATTTCAGGAATAGGAATTCTGCTCAGGGGTGACACTGGGGTTAGGTGGGAAGTTGGGGAGCAGGGAGCAGTTATGAGGCCTGAGTGCCAGGATGAGAGATTAGATTTGATTTATATAGAATTAATAACCCTGGGCAGTGGGAGGAGGGGCCGAGGAGGAACTAGAGAGTGGGGGTTTAATAGGATTTGGTTTTTGGCTGGGGACTTTTCTCAGGAAAAAAAGTGGCCTTGGGGATTGGCTCTTGAAGGGTACGAAGTGTTATCAGAATGCTGTTATGTTGGTCTTTCATTCAGCAATCAGTGCTAGCTACTTGCTAAACACCAGGGGTTTACAAAATTAGGAGACAAACTGCCTACCCTCATGAGCTCACATGAACAATTTTAATACCTATCAGATGTGTTAAAACAGTCAAAGGACGGTCTGATGGTAGACATTCAAGTAGAGATGGCAGGGGACAGGGAAAGCATCACAGAAGAAATGAGTTTAGATGAATGAATAGGAGTTTTCCAGATTGATAAGATGAGGAAATTGTTTTAGGCAGAGGGAACAGCTTGTGTGAAGCTATAGACGTGTAGCAGCTGTGGTGGGGGGTTGGGGAGGCTGTGGTGGATTTGAAGTACACTGTGGTTGACCAGAAAGGCTGGGAAAGAGGTGGGGACCAGACTATGCAGGGGAGCAGCCAGTGGGAGTCCCTGGCAACTTTGAAGGGGCTGTAGTTAGAGGAAGTAAGTCCATTAGTAAGGTCATTGTTGCCCCCAGGTGAACACTGATGGTGGCCCCAACTTGGCCGGAAAGCCCATCCCCATCTCCTGTATTCAATGTGACAGGTCTGTACTTAACAGAGAAAACAGTGGGGGTTGCTGTGTGGAGCCTGGATGGGGAAGGCAGTGACCAAGGCAGAGCCTTGGGAATTCTGCAGCCCTCAGAGTTACTGAGCACTTACTATGTGTCAGGCCCTGTTCTAGATACTAGAATACATTAAAGAACAAGCCATGCTCTCACTATCCTGGGGTCAGAGCTGAGCTCTTCCTTAGGACGACTCTTCCCAACTCTAACCCGGCATAAGGACAAGGGGATGAGGAGGAGGGAAGAAGACTGGGGATCAGAGCTGGGGTTGCTACAGGGGACAGGGAGGGCACACCAGGCCCCTGACTTCACTCTGGCCTTTCTCCCAGCTCCCTGCCCAAGCCCCAGCCATAGCCATGGCCATGGCAGTAGCCCAGAGATTCAGCCACCTGCTGTCCAGTCTGTGGCACGTTGGCCAGAAGCCCATGCAGCCTGAGCCCATGTTCACAGTGGACCGAGCTGAAGTGCCACCACTCTTCTGGAAACCTTACATCTATTCTGGCTACCGGCCACTTCATCAGACCTGGCGCTTCTACTTCCGCACACTGTTCCAGCAGCACAACGAGGCGGTGAACGTGTGGACACACCTGCTGGCGGCTGTGGCGCTGCTGCTGCGGCTGGTCATCTTTGTGGGGACCGTGGACTTCCAGGAAGACCCTCATGCCCTGCCCCTCCTCATCATCATCTTCACCTCCTTCACTTACCTCTCCTTCAGCGCCCTGGCTCACCTCCTGCAGGCCAAGTCTGAGTTCTGGCACTATAGCTTCTTCTTCCTGGACTACGTGGGCGTGGCGGTGTACCAGTTTGGCAGTGCCTTGGCCCACTTCTACTATGCTATTGAGCCCACCTGGCACGCCCAGGTGCAGGCCATTTTCTTGCCCACGGCTGCCTTCTTGGCCTGGCTTTCCTGCACCGGCTCCTGCTACAACAAGTACACCCAGAAGCCGGGCCTGCTGGGTCGCACTTGCCAAGAGGTGCCCTCAGCACTGGCCTATGCCCTGGACATTAGCCCTGTGGTGCACCGCATCTTGGTGTCCCCTCACCCTGCCACTGATGATCCAGCTCTTCTCTACCACAAGTGCCAGGTGGTCTTCTTTCTGCTGGCTGCTGCTTTCTTCTCCACTGTCATGCCTGAGCGCTGGTTTCCAGGCAGCTGCCACATCTTCGGTCAGGGTCACCAAGTTTTCCATGTCTTCTTGGTGCTGTGCACACTGGCTCAGCTGGAGGCCGTGACGCTGGACTATAAGGCCCGGCGGCCCATCTATGAGCCTCTGCACACCCGCTGGCCCCACAACTTCTCTGGCCTCTTTTTGCTCACAGTGGGCAGCAGCATCCTCACTGCCCTCTTTCTCAGCCAGCTGGTGCGGCGCAAACTCCATCAGAAGACCAAGTGAAGGGCCATGGGTGGTAGCTGGGAGGGAGGGAGGAGTAGTGGAAGGACAGAGGCTCCTCCAGCTTAGCTCCAGATCGGAACAGGCCTGGTAAAGTTATTTGTGTCTGGCCTGCGGTGACTCCCTGCATACACCTTAACTGCCAAGGTAGCACTGGCCAATCTTTGGACTTGGGGATTGGGCAGGAGCTACTGGGTCAACTTCTGGGCCCTCCCAGCTCCCTGTCCTGGGAGAGGGAGAGATGAAAGTGTGGGCCACCCTGGCTGCCCTTCCTCAGCCTCCCACTATGGGAGTGGGGGTGGTGAGCGTGGATCAGGAGCCTGGTTGGGGCATCTGGGTTGTCTAAGAGGGAGGTGAAACTTAGGCCAGGATCAGATTGGGGCTGAATGGTGGGGGTGGGGGTGGGGCACAAAGGGGGCTCAGCAGCTGCCACTACCCAAATTCTACTGGTGAACAGAAAGGGGTAGGCCCAGGGATGTGCCCCAAAGGCAGACTGTGCTAGACGAAAGGGGATCCTATCCCATGCCCATATCCTCCACAGTGAGTCTCAAAACTCCTAGTTCTGGCCTCTGTGTCCCACACAGCTATGCCACTTCTTTCCTTGCTCGTGGTTCAGCCTTCTGATCAGTGTTTCCTGCAGGATTACAAAGGCTTTCGTATCAGGATCAGTCAAAGGAAGTACAGAGAGGGAGTAGTTGGTGCCGCCTGAGGCATTCGGCCTTGAGTGAGGAGGAATAGAAGGGCTGTCCAGACAGAGGGGGAAAACCTGTGCAAAGACCCGGGGTGCAGAAGGAGTTCAGTGGGGCTGGAGCTACAGGTGGTCTAGACTCTGTTATGTCCTGGATGCAATAAAGTGACTGACAACAGCTGCCTCTTTGTCTTCTGTCTTCTGTCCCAGGAAGGCATTTCTCTTCACAGTATTGGACAAGTCTTTAGGGGAAACCTGAGACCGCTAGAAGTGGACAGAGTGGGGAACAGTTCTTGTTTTATTTTTGCCTGGAGGTAGAGTTGGTGTGAGGGCCTCATTGTGTGTGTGTGTGTGTGTGTGTGTGTGTGTGTGTGTGAGAGACACTTCAAGGAGCAGGGGTCAGCTTTGTTACTAAATAAGCTTTAAATAAGCTTATTTAATAAGCTTAAAATAATAAGCTTTAAATAAGCTTTAGAAATAGTTAAAATAATGTGTTTAAAATATACATAATTCCACTTTTTTAATTTGACCAAGATTTCAGTTTTTTGGTTTTTCCTTCAATCACAGAGGCTTTAAAATTTTTTGAAATACATTATTATTGTTACTTTTTTTTTAATTTATTTTTTCTTTTATTTATATGTGCATACAATGTTTGGGTCATTTCTCCCCCCCTTCCCCCCACCCCCTCCCTTCCCCCCACCCCCTCCCTCTCCCTTATTGTTACTTTTTATGGTGCTAGAAATTGAACCAGGGCCTGGTGCATGCTAGGCAAGTGCTCTACCACTGAGCTGCATCCCCTGGCTCTCACAGAGGATTTAATGTGTTAATATTTATTTATTTATTTATTTTCAGTATGGGATTTAAACTCAGGCCCTATACCTTGATCCATTCCACCATCCCTTTTTTGTGATGGATTTTTTTCGAGATAGGGTTTCGCGAACTATTTGCCCAGGCTGGCTTTGAACTGAGATCCTCTTGATCTCTGCCTACTCAGTAACTAGGATTACAGGAGTGAGCCATCCACACCCAGCTCTAACCATTTTTAAATCCCGCTCCGGGGTGCACCACTCCTGGAGGTACTGCAATACCAGGTCGGTGTGTGGAGTGGACGGAGCAAGCTCCTATTCCATCTCCTGTTCCAAAAATCCATTTAATATATTGTCCTCGGATTGAGGATGTATCTGATATTAAACTGATTAGCACAGACATTACACTTGGTCTTAGCCAAAAGGCTGAGAAACAATGTGTTAAATTTTATAATAATTGTTTTTCCATAGTACACAGGCCATATATATATATATATATATAAATATATATAAAATGAAATTAGAAAGATGAGAAAAAAGGAAAGCTGGGGTGTGCTTCAGTGGTAGAGAGCACGTGTAAGGTGCTGGGTTCCATCCCAGGCCCATCTGAAAAAAAAAAAACCTAAATAAGAAATACCCTTCCACTGCTAAAATATTCTGGGCTGCCCCTATGTAATATATTAATAGATATTTATATGTTAAGAATTAAAATATGTATATATACATATACAGCTGTGAAGATTGGTGAGGCATGGAAGCAGGTGGATAGGATGCATTTTTGCCCTTCCCAGCGGACTTTAAGAATTTACAAAATCTTTTCACAAATGTTACTTCACTTGATTTATTTTAAAATCCAAGGCCACGCAGTAATTGCTGGGCGCTAGTTTGCTCTTTGTTTTGTGCTTTGCGGTGCTGGGGATGGGACCCAGAGTCTTACACGTGCCGAAGGCTGGTTCTTAACTTTTTTTTGGTGGTGGTATTTTTTGGGTTAACTCGGGGCCTCACACTTGCTAGGCAAGTGCACTACCACTTGAGCTGCTCTATCAGCCTTTTTTGTGATGGGTGTTTTGGAGATAGGGTCTCCCAAACTATTTGCCTGAGCTGGCTTCCAGCTCAGATCCTGCTGATCTCTGCCTCTTGAGTAGCTAAAATTACAGATGTGAGCCACAGGCGCCCGGCATGACTTCTAATTTTTATTTCACGTTTTCAAAAATCTTCCATGTGGAGTTCGGTCACTACGAACTTAGTCACAAGCTCAATAACCACTGTGATAAGCGTTGAGGAGCCCGGCTCTCTGGAGTGAAGGTGAGGACAGAGCTAGTCGTGAGCCTGGGGTAGTTATAGTTACAGTAAGGACATGCAATTCAGCAGAACCAAAATGGACCAATTCACACAGCAGGGTTTCTAGAATATTGCTCTCCAGTAAGGATCAGAAGGAACATGGACGTCTGGGTGAGCAGACAACCACTGCACCCAGAAGGTTGCTCCAATGCAGTGGGCGGGGCCTTGAGAGGGGGCGGGGCGACGACCAGGGCCGTGCTCTTCCGGGGGCGGTGCTACGTCCTGACGGCTGCGGCGTGGCTCCGCCTCCCGCGTTGGCGCGAGATTCGAACAGCCGCGGAGCCGGCGCAAGCCGTTCCCTGAGGCGTCCGGTGTGCGGCCCGCGGGAGCTTTGCTGGCCTGGTTTCCTCAGTCGCCATGAGGCGGAGTGTCCCCGAGGAGGAGGCGTGTGGCGTGTGGCTGGATGCCGCGGCTCTGAAAAGGCGGAAAGTGCAGGTGGGCTAGGGACTTTGGGTTTACGAGGGAGGAATTTGGGGGGCACCTGGAGGTGATGGAGACGAGTCCGTGACCGAAAGAGCAATAGCTTCGGGGACTCACAGGCGAAAGGAATTGAAGTCTGAAGGAGGGGTTGCGGAAGGACGGGGTGGGCTGTGGAGGGACTTGGAGGGGCTAGGGACAGGATTTGGAGGTAGGGGAGGTGGTGAGGTGAGAGCTCGCCAGGACGCTAAGTGCCCCCTGCCAGAGAGTACTTAGAGGCTGGAGCAGGGAGAGATGGTGCCTCTGGCAAATTGGGGAATCGTCACCCCGGCGCCATGATGTACCCAGCCTGCCAGGTTGCAGATCCTCTGCTTGTCCAGAACTAGTAAGTTTGGGCAAACAGAAATAGGAAATAGGGGAAGGGGAGCTGGTCTAACTCATGATGAGCATCCGCTGGGTCCCACACACTGTAAGAGGCGTTTAATATGAATTGTATGTGTCATTCCTTTTTTTTTTTTTTTTTTGGTGGGATTGGGGTTTGAACTCACAGCTTTACAAGTGTAAAGCATGTGCTCTACAGCTTGAGCCACACCTTCAATTCATTTTGGTCTGGTTGTTTTGGAAATGGGATCTCTCGAACTATTTGCCTTGAACCTGGCCTTCAACCGAGATCCTCTCCATTTCAGCCTCCCAAGTAGCTCGGATTACAGATGTGAGCCACTGGCGCCCTGCTGTGTCATTACTTTTATTAGGAATGAGGGAACTGAGTAACCCAGGTTCACCCAACTAGGAGGGGCTGAAAATCACACCCAGGTCTGCTACCTAAGCAAGGTGCTCTTTAGTCATTGCAAACAACCAAAGCATGAGATGATTGTTGTTTATTCAGCCTGTTATGCTGGGCATTGTGCTGGGTGTTTTAGATATGTTATCTTGGTAGAACAACTAACTCTATGGTTGATAACACAGTGAAATCCATTGAATACATTAAAAAGTGTACAATGCTTAAAATAGACACCAAGGGCAGGATTCTTGATGTCATGTTGCTTACAGGTTTGTTTGTTTGTTTGTTTGTTTGCGGTACTGGGGTTTGAATTCTGGGCCTTGTGCTTGCTGGACAGGCCCTCTACTGCTTGAGCTATGCCCCCAGACCTTGCCTAGTCTTAAGGGGGAAGAAAAGCAATGTACAGATAATAACAATACCTAACATTTGTTAAGTGCTTACTATTTGTCAGGCACTTTGCTAGGATTTACCCACCTTATCCATAGCAGGTACTCACTCAATCAGTGAAATATATTCTGTCATTATCTTAGTTTTATAAATGAAAACATTGAGGCTGGGATTTAAAATTTACTCAGGTAAGCAGGTGTTTAAGCTAGTTCTGATTGTTGCAAAGGCCAATACTCTTAACCCATCTCTAGGCAGAAATATGGTATGTCCCAATAAATGGTCTCAAGGGAAATGTGGTTTGCCAGACCAGAAAGATTACTACTGACTTGGGGTTATCAAGGTAGATTTAACTGAACAGGTAGATGGAGACTTGAGATTTAGTTTGAGCAGTAGTCTGAAGGTCGAATGGTTAACCTAAGTGTCCAAACCATAAATGAAAATCTTTTGTAGGTGGCTACAACCTTCTGAACAAAAATCAATGGAGGACCCTTAAAATAAAAGGCATCTTACACATTTATAGGTAACTCACTGATGTGCTACATAATCTAAATGTATAGAATGTACAAAGAAACATCTCCCTTGT